AAATGGAATTGATAGAATCTGTAAATAGGAGCTTTTACAGCATACCTCTAACAGCCCGACGACGTGAGGATCATCTAGCAGTCACGTGAAGGGGATGGGCGGATGTCCGCTTCGCGGACACGCGGCACACGGGCCTGAGCCAAGTGACGACAAACGCGCGACCAACCGGTAGTTCTCGGCCGGTAGGGCCAGTAGTCAGGCGACTGTCCCCCGAGGAAGTCAAGCGCCGACGTGAGAAGGGCCTCTGTTTCAAATGTGAAGAAAAGTTTACACCAAGCCATCAATGTAAGCAGACTTTTGTGATAGAAGTTGCTAACTCTGATGAAGAGAAATCTGAGGTCGAGGAGGAACCACATCCAGAGGACGAGGTAGAAGTGCACGAGAGGAGGCTGAAATTTCGATGCATGAAATGGCAGGGATTAGAGGGCCTAGGACGATGCGATTACTAGCTTGGGTCAAGGATCGGAGGGTGATTGTGCTCGTGGACAACGGGTCATCACACAACTTCATTAATGCTGACTTGTCCCAGAAACTAAATTTGCCAACCACGAAGATTGAGCCTTTTGATGTTCGAGTAGCTAATGGAGAGAGGCTGCAATGCACTGAGTCATTTCGGAAGGTGCCGATCAAGTTCCAAGGAGCTACGGTAAAGGCTGATCTCTATGCTTTACCCCTAGTTGGACCTGACGTCGTTTTAGGAGTACAATGGCTCGAAGGGTTAGGCAAGGTGACCACCCACTACCGAACTGGGGTTATGGAGTTTAATTCTGGAGGTCGGCAAGTCATCCTGAGCACGGGCACTGAGAAAGGTACTAAAGAAGTTGGGTTGAAGAGTATTGAAAGAGTTTGGCGAAGTGACGGCCAAATATACGTAGTCGTGGTCGAAAGTAAGGATAGGCGCAAGGAGAAAGTCGAGCAGCAGCAAGGCGATCTGCGCGAGCTTCTCGAGGAATTTGAGGGAGTGCTAGGCGAACCCAAGGGACTACCACCTCACCGGGAGTTCGACCACCGAATACCACTGGTCAACGAACAACACGCAGTGCATGTCCATCCCTATAGGTACGCTCACTTCCAAAAAACTGAGATTGAAAGGCAAGTAGCTGAGATGCTAGAGTCTGGGTTAATTCAGCATAGCATTGTTGGTGTTATATACTTAAGCTTTGCTTTAGTGGATATTACACTTATTATTTCTTGATGAATGAGAATTATGTTTGGTTAAATAAGTTCCACGTTCTGTTGTTTTGCATGTAGATAAGTGGGTCGTCATCGGGCGTACCGAAGATCACTATATCAGTTACTTGCGAAACAAGAATCATTGGTTCACAACCTAGATGGAATTGAACAACCAATCAGAACGGTTGTAGTGTCAACCTTACGGTTTGTCTTGACCGATTAGTTGTACTAGTACATTTATGTATTGAACAGGATC